CATCGCAATGTATCACAAAAGAATGACTATACTAGTCTAACTACCCGGTGTTACATATCAGAGCAGCAGACTCAAAAGAATGAAGACTAATCTTCACAAAAGGACTCCAGCATCCTAATCTGCAATGCCTCATAGAGCATTATAAAACAGCAGAAGGGTGATAAATATAACCATAATAATCAAAGCATAAGATTATATATATATATAGGTAATCATGTAACACATATTCACATTTCTCACCGCACTTCATTCTCTTAGTCATATATATTTACCACACATATATATAGACAAACATGGATATTCACAAAGCATTCCCACATTATGTATACACTTACAATTTCCACAATCTCATCATTCACACATAAGCATCACTTCATGCATATGTCATATATCAATGTGACTCAACAACTCAATGTAACTCATGCAATGCGGTACCGACTCTCGTTATCTTTTTTCGGTTTTTACATTAAACCGGGTCCACACTTCTAGACCGATAACCCGTTATCTTTTTTCAGTTTTTACATTAAACCGGGTCCACACTTCTAGACCGATAACCACAAAGGCCCGTCCTCTAAGCCTTCAAACCCACACTTCTAGGTTTGAGACAAGCCACTAGTTTCCACGAAACTAACAGACATTGCCTCTTGACTAAATGATGCATGTACAATCAACCACAACAAATGCACTTAAGACTGACATCTTAATCTCATGCATTTACATAATTCATCACTTCAAGAATTACACAATGATTGTACATACAACATATATCACACAATCAAGGTATTCACATCACAATACCATTTATACAATTATAAGTCATGCACACATATCCACAATGTTCTCATGCATACTCATCACATAATTGTATACCCATTAAGCATTCGCAAGTTCATTAGACAATACACATACATTCATCATTGTATTCACATGTATTTCTATTTATCACAATTAATACGCATCGCACATCAACTAGGATTCACGCCCGTAGGCTACCCACAGCACACATCATCACAATAGATCATATCTATATCATATCATAGAGGTATTAACCTATGTGAATCAATCAAACACTCACCACATGAGTAACACAGCAAAAGAAAAAAATGCTGTCACATTCGCCTTCATTCGCCTGGCGAACCCTCGCAGCGAACCTTCGCCTGGCCTTCGCCTGGCGAACTCCCTCAGCGAACACTCGCTAGGCTTCGCCTGGCGAGACTTCCCAGCGAGCCCAAGTCAGTAGCTACTGACTTCATTCGCCACCATTCGCCAGCACCTTCGTTGGGCGAACCTTCGCTACCCAACTTCGCCTGGCGAATCCACCAGCGAAGTCCACTGGGACTTAAATATAATTATTCGCCAACATTCGCTAGGCTTCGCCTGGCGAGAGCCAGCGAACCTGCGCAGAACAGAACCCTATTCTGTTCCACCTCCACAATCCACCATCATCCAACTTCTCACACAACAAAATCAGTACAAACAGCATCAACACATGTTACCCGACTATTCTACGGCATTATTGCTCAGTTTCAACCGATTAAATCATCAATCTACCGATTATTCCAACTTTTGCCCTAATTGGAAAGTGATGAAAACTCTACCAAGCCCCAACCCAACATACATAACATCATACAATGATCAAATAGAAACATTTCTCACCCTTACCTCGATTAATCGGAGCTTTGATGTTGGTTCTTGATGATTTCCACTTTTCCTCTTCTTCTCTTCTCTTTCTCTCCTTTCTTCTTCTTTCCTCTTTCTTTCCAAATGTTTTCTAACTTTCTTTTCTTTTCTTTCTCTCTTATATATTTCCTTCATTTTCCTTCCTCTCCAATTCCTTCTCAATTCTCTATTAATTTCAATTAATAAAATTAATTTCCCACATTAGTAAAAATCCCACTAAATCAATTAATTACTACAATTAATTATTTAATGAAATTTGGGCTGTTACAAGGGTAGCCGCCCTAGCGGCCACCCAGCGCATGACATGTGGCAAAGGCTGACAGCCGTGTCCCCTCATATCTCCCCGCCAACACGTGTCCTCAAGCCCGGGCACCCGACAACGAGGAAGGACTCGCGTACTCGTGTCCCCACTAAACACGAGCCGAAGAGTTCTTCCTCCTCAGGAAAATCTCTCCTCCCCGGCACAACGTCATCAAGTCCTCGCTCCCTCCCTCGGAGCTACGACTTGGGGGGGCTCCTGTTCTGGCCTAGGCCCCGGCTTGGCCAGGAAGGCTCAGCCCAAGAATGTTATGCCAAACCCAGTCTGGCTTGGGCCGCAGCCGTCGAGCACAAGGTCCTCGACGGGCAGGTAATGTCCCTCTGCGGGAAGAACCTGCCTCATCTGTGTCGAGCACAAGACTCCCCCATCGACCAGACACTGCCCTCTCCGCGGGCAGAACCTGCTCCCCTGTCGGGCAGGACAACGTGTCCTTCACACGTTCTCCACGTGCTCCCCTCCGTGGGGACACGTCACCGACCAACTGCCCACCTCTGAAAGAGCAGGTCAAACCCACTTTCCGGAGATCACGGGACAGTTGGACTAGGGCGAAGACCACGTCCTGGTCTTCACTACGCCACGTAAGCCCTAGTAGTCACCTGAATTGGGTCTGGCAATCCAGCCCAACACAAGTGACCGTTGGCCCAGCGCTGGGGTCTCTCTATAAATACCCTCTTTCACAAGAGGGTCGGGTAATTCACTTCTTACCCCTTTTCTGTACTTGTGATCACTCTGCCCATACGCTTACTTTAGCATCAGAGTGTCTTGTAGGTACACCCCTCTCCTCTTCTTCAATACCGGTGAATAGGCAGCCAGTCGAGGACACGTGGCAGTCAGCGTTCCCTTTCTGATCAGGTCAAATCATATACTTTTACTCTAACCTTCATTAGGAGTTTCATCTCATAAGAGTGCATGATTCATCAATCTACATGAGAGGTAATATTGTTCTTTTTCTTTCTCTTGCTTAGTAAGTTTCATTTTACATTACTTGTTGTTAATATTTCAAATGGCTAATATCCTTGAATATGAAGAAGTTCATTAATATTCACTTTCAAAATTTTCTATTGATCTTTGTATATTATATATTTATAATAATATTGTGTTATTCCTTCTATATACTTGAAACTTTCTTTTGGTGCATATTGGCTTATTATGTATTTCTTCATGAACTTTGGTCGAACATGTTATGATGTTAAATGAAATCTTGTTGTGTGTCATTATTATGGTTACATCTCTATATTTGGTTTGAGTGGTGATGACTTCGTTTATCGCCTTGCTAGAGCACATGTGTGTGCAGCATTTCGGAAGCATATGTCATGTAATCGTGTCGCTTTTGTAGCAGCTCAAGGGTTTGTGATTACATTGTATCCTTCATTGTTCATGTTTGTGTATTTTATTTTAGCATTATAGGTAGCAATTGTGTTCAATTGTTACTTGATGTGTTTGTATTAATGTTTAGACATTCTAAATTGATGTCCATATCATTCTATGTGAGTGCTATCGTGCTGATTATCTTCTCATTTGCAAATTGTTTTTGTGTGGTATTTTGAATTTGTATGCAGTTATTGATACTTTGCTTGTTCTTTTTTTTGATGATGTCAAAGGGAAAGAAAGTATATAAGTTAAAGAATAGGCACATATTCAGGAGTCTTCAAAAGGACAACGTCGTGAAACACATCGTCTCATGCTTTGCCATCATCAAAAAGGAGAAGTACGTGAGTGCTTTTTGTATTTTGAGTGGTGTCAAAATTAGAATAGTACACCGTTATGTATATTGGACGGTACCCTCCTATTCTAGATGAGCATCTTGCATTACAAAGCATTCAAATAAGTTTGAAAAGGAGTCTACATCATAATTGCATTCAAATAAACGAAGATGCATCTCCGATATAATACATTTGTATAATGACTTTTGAATATGATGCATAAAATGTGTTAAATTGCTACGGAGATACATCTTCAAAATATTTTAACGTTCAATCAGAATTTTGTACGTCCGGAGATACATCTTCAAAATATTTTAACGTTGAATCAGAATTTTGTACTTCCGAAAATATATCTGCAAAATCTATAGACATCTAAGTATTTTCGCATGGTATGGTGGCTAAAACACTTATAAGATGCAATTCCAAAATATGTTTTAGTTTGTCTCGGTTTAAAAATTCAGAAACAAAATGTCTATAACAAATCAAGCCAAGCCTCAAACCCTATGCGAAATTGCTGCTGCTACAAGCATAACCAATCCACTATCATCTTTAAGGATCACACGAATATCCATTAGTCTATGCTCTTATATTGTTAAACAATTCCATGATTTTCTAATTCTTGACTCTAGAGAAATCTACTTATTTTCTCAACACTTCTTGTTCCTAGCACACCAAGTTCCATAACATTCAGTAGAGCAAAAGGTATCATGTTTGTAAGCCATATAAAACTACTGTTTGATGCACTGGATCACCTTACTATCTGAAAATATATAGAACCAAATTTACCATGTCCTCGTCTGTCTTCTAGAGTTTCTGATAAAAAACAGTAGGCAGGCATAACATCTTATCTTGATACAACCGTAATTCTCAACATATCAGAGGCGATTCTATCTTAACCACATCAACAACTTCCTCTTTTTCTTTCCTCCTCAAATTCAAACCGATTTCACATAATCACTAATAAATTCTAACCTGGAGTGTCTGTCATAAGTCGTACCTACTCAAAAAATTACTTTTATGTCATCGCAGGGAAAACAATGGAACAATAGAAGCAAATAAAAACCCGGCACAGAACGAATTGATAACGGAATTTAACATAATAGCCAAAGATTGAAACATTCACTAAAACTTATCTACTATTCAGTCAAATTTGTCACAAGAAGGCCTTAAAGATTAAAGCTATACACGAAATTGAATTGCTATAAAAAAAGCTCCATGTCAAGTCTAAAAGAGTATACACTCAGTTTTCCAGAGATAGATGCACAAAAGGATTGGATTCAGAGTTGTTTTCCTCCAAATCAGCTGCAACATCCACCTCCTGCAGCAACAGCTCCATCTCTGCCTCCTGCTTGGCCTTGTGGACGTCCATAGCCGATTTTTATACCACATGTCTGCAATTGTAGATTCATTGAAAAAGTTAGCCATAAGGAAACACTCAACAGCAGGAAAATGGACCCAGATAGTCCAAATACAAGGAATCAAGCATTTGACGCAGATCTGGACGTCGGGTCAAGATCAAATGGCTCAAGGTCGAAAATAGAGTTAATAAAAGAGAAGGTTAAAAAAGTAATCTGAGTTTTATTAGCGCGATAGATAAAAAAGAAGATTAAAAAAGTAATTTTTATTATTTTAAGCAAACACAATAGCTTTCACTTCACATAAAAATTCTAAAAACTAACTTCTAAACAATTTTATTCGAAAATCATTGATTCTTCATCTTAAACAACTGGCCCACCACATGGACTTTGATTTATAAACCATTAGTCATATAGAGCGTGGAATGGGACCAATGCGGTTATCAAAACTAAATTCGCATATATTTTTCGCATGGAGCTGACAGTAGACAAGTTACCTCATTGGACACATCAAAAACACCATCCTGGATGTTCTGAAGAATCTTTGCAGCAGTCTTTATGAAAGCCTGCAGAAGAAGCACTGGGTTACTTTTGATGGTAAGCAAAATCATAATATGTTTGAGGCTACCATATATTTATGCTGCATCATTCTCGCTATCGATTGAGATTAATCACCTCTTCTACATTTTGTGCTGTCTTGGCGGAAGCTTCCATGAATAAAAGTCCATTTTCCTTTGCAAATTGCTCTCCCTCCTCTTTGCTGACTGCCCTTCGGTGAGACAGATCACCCTTGTTCCCTATGAGTGTGATTGTCATGTTAGGATTGGCATGCTGCCGCGCATCTTCTAGCCAACTTGCTAAATGATTAAAGGTTTCTCTCCTGATTAAACAAAGAATTTTTCTAGTTTACAGTTGATGCCATGATTTGAAAAATAAGCAAACCCCATTCAGTCATACTTAACATTACCACACACAGAAACAGAATATAAAAGGACAGGATTGGATATAAATTGATTTGTTTATATGGAACAGAAGTGTACATTATTTTAGGGCCCGCGACAAAGGAAAAAGGGATGCGTACAGTGTAGTCAAGATCAAGTGCTAGATCGTAAGATTGTAAGATCTTAAGTGTCAAGGGTGCCTGAGAGTGCTACGATCAGAGAAAGATCGTTTTCATTGCCAGTGTGGTCAAGATCAAGCTTTTTGAGAGAAGATCATAAAAAAAAAACATGCTAGACCTTCTTTTGGCCCTGAATTATAATTTTCATGTTTGCGTTTCAGTGAGTATAAAATATACATGAAATTACCATTTTTCCCTTCGGTAGGATCTTACGTGTCGTGCTAACGATCCAAGTTTTACAATCTTTCATAAGCCAACAATCCTACTTAAGATCTCGGGATTGACAACATTGTGCGTACTCCTAAAATCTGGATTGGATTTAATTGAACCCTACAAAACTGACTTATAAACATATTTTTTAGGTTTTTACTCATCCAATTTAAGACTTTAAAGTACACACACTCATGCCTAGGACTGGACATCTAAGCGTGGGTGACCCAAAAATCTTGGACAGGCTATGATAGTCACTAATAAACACATTTTTTAGGTTTTTGCTCATTCAATGTAGGACTTTCAACACACACCCACTCATGCCTAGGACTGGACATGTATACCGTGAAATGATCGTGGGTGTCCAAAAATCTTGGACAGACTCTTATACTATCTGAGAATTTTGGTTGGGTCTAACTCACTCTTACAAAGATGGCTTGTAAGGTGAAGGATGTGTCCCACATATAAACACATTTTTCAAGTTATATATCCTCCAATGTGCGACTCTCAACACATTCCACATTTATTCATAAACTTGAGATAGAAAAATACCATGAAAACATCCTGCTTGCAACCAGCAGTGCCAGATCACATCAGATGAGGTGTTGGAAAATCATACAAGACGGTTTGAACTTTATTTTCATAAGAAACTAAGTGACGAATGTTCTAGACTTGAAGGTCAGAAGAATTGAAACTTTCAAATAGGAAAATTAACAATAACAAAAGATAATGAACAGATAAAGCTTTAGTATGCCACCAAAGGTTTGTAGAGACCTAACTTCACAAAAATATACAGCATTTCACTTCGCAGATATGATTATTGATTGGGGAAAAACAACAGTTGAGATTTTAACACCACACGCATATATTTTTCAATCAATGGGAGTCAAATCTTTTGTAGACATTGTGAACATCAACATATTCAAACATTTAACATTCATCAAAGTGGCAAATATCATGCAAAGAGCGTATAGAAAAGTGAGGATATAAAGTTAGGTATTATTATAAAAATGCATATCATGATTGTATGTCAAAGGGGCAATAGCACCTCCCACCTTGTAATGTCATAAACTAGAAGTGCCCCTGCTGCTCCTCTGTAGTAAGATCTAGTGATGGATCTAAAAGATTCTTGCCCAGCCTACAATTGAACAACATAATCTGCATCAGTATTTGAGCCTAATTGAAAACTACAAGCATATTCTAGAAATACACTTCCATTTGGATCAGTATCATACTAAATGAGTGTCAAATGTAACTTCTTTGATAGGAATAGTTGCAAATTTTAGGACAATCTTACTGAAATGTTGCACAAATAGAAAAAAAAATTAAGCAGTACCACAAATAAAGAAGTCTTAAGTAACCTATGGAGTTATTAATAGGTTGTGTGTTATCTGCTCGAATTTGTAATCCCAAAACCCTTAAGATTTCAAGAGAAAATATCTTCTACTCACTCACACTGTGAAGAAGATGGGTTAAAATATCTCTGAATGACATGGAAAGAAGCGAATGTGGATATTCAATGAAGACGCCTTTCGTTTAGCAAGTAGAACAAGTTTAACAATTGATCTCTTCTACATCAGCTGAATTAAGCAGCGCCTTAATTTCTGTTTCCTTCTATCCCAAAGTATCCGTTGTGACAACAACAACAATAATAACCAAGTCTTTTTCCACTAAGTAGAATTAGGTACATAAAACAATAGACATCATAAAATCCTGTATTAGGTCTATAGATAAGTTGTCTGCCTCTATATCTTGCTTATTGGCATACCCTTCATCTCATTGTTGTCAATTGCATATTGTGGAAAATAGTGGTTTGTTCAACCCTGCTATAGTGCCACCTTAGCTACTATTTCACAATATTTAGTACAAAATAGTGTATCGCAGAACAATAGTGATTTGTTAAAATCCCACTATGCAATAACACCTCTTTAGCTACTATTCAACAACACTGATCTACTTTTGATATGATAAGACTCACTTCTTATTACTTAGTGACAATTTTTGCAACCTTGTCCCAAAATCTATATTTGTATCTATATCTACATTTACACAGGGAGTGGATCCTCTCATGTTGGAAAAAAAAAACATTAAGGAGCCGTATTTCTAATCCACGTCATTCAAACCCCCTACTTCCTATTTTTAGACGTAATTTCAAGAAGCTCCAAATCTTAGCTTTTGGTTAATGTGGTATTTTTTATGTGAGTTGATTGAATTTAACTCAATACCAAACACATACTAAAGTTGGCAATTTTATGGCTTTTCACTACATCACCATCAAATTCAAAGAGTCATAAGATTTTTTACACTGTCGATCAATCAATCATCACCAAACAACAAAATATATAAAGCAACCTTATGAAACATTCAAATCCATAAATCACATATAGTTCACTTTAGTGTTCAAGTTCTAATTCATGCCTTTCAATAAATTAAAAACATATCCAACCAAAATAATAACATAATCTAAAAATAGAATAATAAAATTCCATAGAGAGAGAGAGAACTGACAGTATCCCATATCTGAAGCTTAATAGGCCGTGAATCAATGGTGAGCATACGCGCACCAAACTCAACACCAATGGTGAGATCATGAACAGGTTGAAACCTCTTGTCGGTGAACTGAAGGAGCAGGCAAGATTTCCCTACACCTGCACCGCACAGAATAAAAACCCAAACTTGGAATCAGAATCAGATACCCAATTGAGAGAAAAGAAAAGGGTAACGAACCTGTGTCGCCGATGATGATGTACTTAAAGAGATAGTCGTACGACATGGTTTTATGGGTTAAACGACGTTGTTTGAAGGGATTTAGAAGAAGGTGAAGATGATGAAGAAGTTAGCGTTTTATGTTATGGTTTGAGTGATGATGATGATGGATTGATTTTGAATCCTAATCGATGAAGAAGTTAGCGTTTTATGTTATGGTTTGAGTGATGATGATGATGGATTGATTTTGAATCCTAATCGAAAAAAACAATGTGACGTATGAAAGGAGCATGAGAAAGAAACATCTGCAATATCATAGTATAATTTGATTTTTTTTAATGTTTATTTTATTTTATTTTTGCTTTTATAATTTAATTTTGAGTTTAACCGACATGCGTGTATAGTATAAAATAGTTTTAAACTATTATTATAATTATTGAATGTCATATCATTAATTTTAAAAATATTAACAAAATTTGGTGGAATACAAGATATTTATTGAATAACAATATAATATATTTTTATAATCGTCAATGAACATTAAATAGATTATTAAAGATATTTAACTTACAATTTTTAATTCAATTAATAACTATTGAACATGAATTTTATAATTTTTTTGGTAATGGAAAATTCAAATAAATTGGACCTTGAAGTTTATTAATTAGAATAGATCTCATACAAGAAGTCATATTTTCTTAAATATATGTGAGTTTTTGATGAAGTTTTAAACCTCTTACTTTAATGAAGTTTTATAGAAAGAGTGATCCCCATGAATATTTCTTCCATTAATACTCTGATGGCCATCATATGCGCCTCAGACTCTTTGAAGTGCAAGTTTCTCTATAGCAAATTCAAGGATGTTACATTAAAGTGGTATATGAACTTGTCGTGATTGTCAGTTAGTAGTTATTAAGAGTTGGTGAAGAAGTTAGTCCACCCGTTCTAAGCGAATAAGTAAATGAAGGTGCCCACCACCACTCTATTCAATGTCTACTAAAGGTCATTATAATCTTCGGGGGAATATATCGCTCACATTAAGGAGACAGCCATTAAAGTCATGCAACCAAACCATAAAATGTGTCGGAAAACTTTAAACCTCTTACGTTGACGAAGTTTTCCAAAAAGAGTGATCATTAAAAGCATGTCTTCCATTAATACTTTGATGGCCATCATATGCATCTCAGACTCCTTGAAGTGCAAGCTTCTCTCTAGCATATTCAAGGATGTCACATTAAGGTGGTACACAAACTTGTCGTGATTGTCAGTTACTAGTTATCAAGAGTTGGTGAAGAAGTTTGTCCACCCATTCTAAGCGAGCAAGCAAATGAAGGTGTCCACCACCACCATATCCAACGTCTACTAGAGTTCATTATAATCTTTGAGGGAATATTTCACTCACATTAAGGAGGCGACCATTAAAGTCGTGTAACCAAACTAGAAAATGTTGTAAGGGCTTTCTAGAACATATCGAGGGTGGGGCACTTCAACGAATCTCTCGCTCAAAAGTCAACGACTTCCATGGCCTAAATCATGGTGCGCAGTGAATGTTACATCAAAGGCGAGGAGAGCAACACGAAGAAGAAGGTTATAGACACCAAGCATGAGGATCATCTAACACCCTTGATACGTCATAGGCGTAATGCAAACACAGTAGTCGAACTAGATCCTAGTGAAATTGATGTGTGCCATGAACTTGTCGAATCTTCTATTCCATTGTCGAGAAGATTGTGTCAGGCCATATAAATACTTATTCAACTTGAACGCATAATCTTCTTTTCCCTTTTCTGCATGCCCCTCAGGCTGCCTCATCAGGATTAATTCATCTAGATCATTATACAGAAAGGTTGTCTTCACATCCATATGTTCAAGTTCTGGGTCAAACTTTGCCACCATGGCTAATTGTTAGAACACAGATTGGTTCTTAATAATATCTCTTTGTTTTGATGATAACTATTAGGAAATTTTGTATTTAAGAATTATATACTCTAAAATTTGCTTGAGAGTTTTACTGCAGATTGTAAAGAAATTAACACTCCAGAAGCAAATCAGAATTGAATACAAGAAATTAACTAGACTCTGAAGCGCCAGATGCACTCATTAGAAGATTCTGATTGCTGCTTAGAGAAGATCCTGAGCGTAGCCTCCAGAAGGATCTAAGGCAAGAAGCTCCAGAAGATTATGAAGCAAGCAGAATCATCTGAAGCAAGTCAGAAGCAACTGAAGCAAGAAGAATATTGTATGAAGAGTTTTTCAAAGCATAGTTTCTACAGAAGATTCTGAAAGTACTAAAGCTGCCAGTACTGAAGTTCTGTTTCAAATATGCTCTGATATTTAACACGCTGAAAGCACACATGCTGCAGAAGACTCTGATACAGCAAAGTTATGATCATCATTAGAAGACTCTGACCCAATCAGACTCTGATGAACTTGCTGAAAACTGAAGAAGAAATATTCAAAGATTATATCCGTTGGAGTAAATCAAACGTCTCTTTCCTTATTTGTGCTAGACACAAGAACACAAACAAAAAGGATTTTTCTGTGCTTTCTTCTTCTAGGAAAGGTCACTTGATGTGAAGACAAAAAGGCTCAGACCTTTTTGGGACACTCTTCTCAACGTGCAGCTCACCTTGGATCAGCTGCCTATAAAAGCAAGACTCCACCAAATTCTTCAGTTAGACATTTTTGCTGAAAAGAAATTATAACATTCAAGCTCTCATACTTTCATATTCATTCTTAGAATTATTTGTACTTAAACTTAAGAGAAATATCACTGTTGTGATAAAAGCTTTTTAGAAGCATTCTTACTCTTGTATTAGATTTACATTAATTGTAAAGGATTTCCTTAAGAGGATTCAGTTGGAATCAGTAGCTCTTGAGAAGACTAAGAACAGTTGTTCTTAGGTGTTACTATTGTAATCTGTTTGATTAAATAGTGGATTAAGTCCTTGTTTGAGAAAGGCAAATCACTCTAGGAAGGGTGGACTGGAGTAGTTGAGTTCAACGAACCAGGATAAAAATAATTGTGTTTTAATTCTAAGTTTTAATCTTTCATACTTATTCAACCCCCCTTCTAAGTATTATCTCACCTTCAGTTGGCATCAGAGCTCCGGTTATGTGTGTGCTACCACTTAACAGTGACAGTAAAGATCCAGAGAGAAATACTTTGATATATATTTATTTGTTACAATGGCTGATAATACAATATCCAACATTAACAATAAATATGAAGAAAGGGACAGAATCAGCACCAAACCCCCTATGTTTGATGGGGAGAAATTTGATTACTGGAAAGACAGAATTGAAAGTTTTTTCCTTGGATATGATGCTGATCTATGGGATCTAGTCATAAATGGATATGTTCATCCCACATATGGGAATGGCAAGAAGATAGACAGAAAATCTATGACAGATGCTCAGAAGAAAGATTTTAGAAATCATCACAAGGCCAGAACAATATTATTGAATGCAATTTCTCATACTGAGTATGAAAAAATTACAAACAGGGAAACTGCTTTTGATATGTTTGAATCCTTAAAAATGACTCATGAGGGAAACTCTCAAGTCAAGGAGACAAAGGCTCTGGCTCTGATCCAGAAGTATGAGGCCTTCAAGATGGAAGACTCTGAATCTGTTGAAGCCATGTTCTCCAGATTTCAGATCCTCACAGCTGGGCTAAAGGTTCTGGACAAGGGATACTCTACATCAGATTATGTAAAGAAAATTATCAGAAGTCTACCTACCAGATGGAGACCAATGGTGACTGCCTTGAAGATGGCTAAAGATCTGAACAAGATCTCTTTAGAAGAACTCATCAGCTCACCGAGGAGCCATGAAATTGAGCTTGAGGAAGATGAACCTCAGAAGAAAGAAAAAGGTAAATCTGTTGCCTTAAAATCTAATAAATCTGCTAAAGCTTTGCAGGTTATTGAAGAAAGCTCTGAAGAATCTTCTTCTGAAGAAGAAGATGAATTATCCATGTTGTCCAGAAGGATAAACAAACTCTGGAAGCACAAGGGAAAGAAGTTCAACAACTTCAGAAGATCTGATCATAGAAAGGAATCTTCTGGGCACAGAAGATCTGGCAAGAAAGAAGTTGTGTGCTATGAGTGCAAAGAACCTGGACATTACAAGAATGATTGCCCCAAGCTTCAAAAAGAAAAACCCAAGAAGAAGTTTAACAAAAAGAAGAAGGTTCTGATGGCAACATGGGATGACTCAGATGAATCTGAATCATCTTCTGAATCAGAAGAAGAATGTGCTAATGTTGCACTGATGGCCAGCACAGAAGATCAGGAGGAAGGAACCTCAGGATATGAATCAGATTCTGAATCTGATGATGACGCTGAAGAGGTAATGGCTAAACTTACTAAAGAAGAACTTATAAAAGTTTTATCAGAAGTTCTTAAAAGTTATAACAATATCAAACTCAAATACAAGAAGCTGAAAAGCAATCTTGAATCTGAGGTTGATCTTCTGAAGACAGAACTTGTTGAGCAAAAAGAAATTAATCTGAAAATCAAAAATGACTTTGAAATAACTCAACAAGAATTTAAATATGAGACTAAGTCATGTGAAAACATTTTAGAAAAATATGACACTAGCTTTCAGAGATTCCTTACTAAGAGCATAGACAGAAGCAAGATGGCTTCTATGATCTATGGTGTTAGTGGGAACAACAGAAGAGGTATTGGATGTGAATCCTCATCTGGAAGTAATCCAAAATCTGTTGACAAACTTTTCATCAAGAAGACACCTCTGTATTCTCAATTTAAATTTGGTCACTTAAATAACATTAAACACACAAGCTCTGAGAAGAATACTTATGTGTTTAAACCCAAGGCAAGTCAGAATAAACATTATGTTGAAAAACAGAAGTTTAGACAAACCTACAAACCAACTAACCCCAAAGGACCCAAGAAGATCTGGGTACCTAAAAACAAAATAATTCCTGTTGCAGATGTTCTTAGCAGCAAGGTCAGGACGCCAATCATGGTACCTGGACTCTGGATGCTCACGACACATGACAGGAGAAAAGTCTATGTTCCAAAGCCTAGAACTTAGATC